GGGACCTGCCTCACATCTTCAGGGTGAGTGCCGAGGACGGGATGGACCAGCCACCGTGGCCTCCCCTCGCCTCCCACGGACAGCTCCAGCAGCCTCCATTCTGGCCTCTGATCGGTTCTTCACTGAGCACCCATGACATGCTTTCCCTAAGAGCACCCGGCCACACCCTGCCCCATCTAGAACCCTTCCATGACTCCCATCGCCCTCGGGTGTCCTGATGGAGGCCGTGAGGCCTGGGAGATCTGACCCTGCCGGCCTTCCAGCCCTCTGCCCTGGTGCCTCTCTCTACTCTGCGCACGCCTTGCTCTCTCCAGGTCTGAGGGCACCCTGGACCCCTTCCCATTCTGCTTCCTCCACATAGAACTGTCAGCCCCCCACTGGCCCCCTGCCTTTCCCCCACCCTGACTAAACTGGTCAGTTCTTCAGCCGTCGCCTCCGGGCCTGGGCTAGGGGCCTCCCACGAGGCCCACCTTCACCTTATTATGGTGGGGGTCACAGGGCTCTGGAATTGTCCGAGCGCCTGTCTGACCACCTGCGTGTGTCTTGTCCGCTGCTGAGACGGCACTGAGCCCTGCTGGTGGGGGTGGGAAGGGAGGGAGGCTGGGTGACTGTCACCCACAGCCCTCCAGCCTGGGTCCCTGCCCTGCAGGTGACAGCCTCCCAGCTGGCGGTGCCGCCCGCCACATGCACCGTGCTGCTGTTGGCGGACAGCAAGGCTGAGCGCGAGCGCTGGCTGCAGGTGTTGAGCGAGCTGCAGCAGCTGCTGCTGGACACACGGCCAAGGCCAAGGCCCGTGTACACGCTCAAGGAGGCCTACGACAACGGGCTGCCGCTGCTGCCTCACACGTTCTGCGCCGCCATCCTCGGTAAGTGGCAGGGGGCTGTGGGGGGGTACTGGCCCAGGCCCAATCCCGAGAGCCACTGTCACCATCCACCCTCTCTGTACGGCTGCATGAAGAGCCCTGGGCCACGGAGCCTGGCGTCTTAGCACTCCATTTCTCTGTTCCCCAGTGTCTGCTTTTACAAAAGAGTCTCAAGTAAGTGGAAGCGACATAGGTTTTATTATATTTTTTAATTTTTATTTTTTGAGTTGGAGTCTCTCTGTCACCCAGACTGGAGTGCAGTGGCTGCTCCCGGCCACCGCAGCCTCGACCTGATGGGCTCTGGCGATCCTTCTGCCTCAGCCTTCCAAGTAGCTGGAAGGAACTACAGGCGCGCGCTACCACACCCGGCTAATTTTTTGATTTATTGTAGAGACGAGGTCTTGCCAAGCTGCTCAGACTGGTCTCAACCGTGGGCTCAGACAGTCCCCCCTCACCTTGGCCTCCCAAAGTGCTGGGATTATAGGCTCAGCCACTATGCCCAGCCTACTCTCCCCCTTTCAATCACAATGTCCCCCTTCTAGCCCAGATCATAATTCTGCCATTGATTTTTTTTTGAATTGGAGTCTCACTCTGCCATCCAGGCTGGCACACTCATGGTCATCGCAGCCTTGACCTGCTGGGCTCAGGTGATCCTTCCATCTCAACCTTCCAAGTAGCTGGAATTACAGGCACATGCTGCCATGCCCAGCTAATTTTTTGATTTATCGTAGAGATGAGGTCTCACCAAGTTGCCCAGGC